TTCATCTAAAAAAAATACTCATAAAGCTTCTGATCAAATTGTTGAGTCGGCATATTTGTTTTCTCTCCGAGTGCGCGTGATCAATAGTCTAACGACATTTTACCACCGTTTGTATTACATCTGGGACCATCAAATTGTAGTTCCCTTCTAGCCTCATCATGTAAATATCAAGACCATATCTACATAAAAGCAGTATTGAATTCTTTATGTTTTATTCTAAAAACATAAAAAACAAAATATATATATATAATGTAAGAAGTCTCCAAGTGAGCTTATTATAGGGGACCGCCAAGCACATCCGGAAAGGATCAAGGGGATCTCGTTCTTATAAGCTCAGGTTGGGGCAAGGTGTCATCGAACGTTCAACGGATAGTTTCACGATCAGACATGAGTGTTCGAGAGTTGTCATTATGTACTCCCGCAGGTCAAAAGACAGTGGGGAAAGAGGGCGACACTGGGCGAGATCTATCAACAACGAATTTCTCATACAAATAGAAGGCTATCAAAAAGATACTATTGGCACACAATGACAACATTATATTACACAATGACAGTAGAAAATGCTCCATTAACATATAGCACACTAACACATTATGATCACATTAACAAATCTGAATACTGCAAACAAATATACAATGGCACGTAGACCCATAAATTGAACCACAAACACCCAAAATAACAAGTAAAATAACATAAAAATGTTATAGTAATAGGTAAAAATTTTAAGAAAAACATTAACTAAACACAATAAAAACAACAATTTCATAATAACAGAACAATAAACCCAAATAATCCACATTAACATGTCAAATAATAGAAAAAAAATGTCACAGTGACAAGTAGAATCGGTTTGTTGGTGGAGTTATCTTGAAAGTATAGATCACACTGCCACACACGTTTCATTTTTACTAGTCGATCTCTAGTTTAAAATTCAAAAACATGTATCCTATAGATAGTCACACAATTCTAACAACAAAATATGCGTGATAAGCTCATGTTGAAGATAATAAACAATAATCAACTTAAGGTCATCATAAAAAATTAAAAAAAAATGAAAACAACACCGTGAATTTGCTTACCAATTATTGTATATAACGTGTCCTTAATGACGTAAAAAGTACGGGCTTATATTTATTGACAAAATAGATTATCATATTATACTAGTTTCTAATTTTCACATGTTAATATAAGTTAATAGACTTTATTTTTTTTGATTTTGGGCCGACAGTTGACAAGTTGGGTACGATTAGTTATAGAGCAAAGATGGGCCAAAAGAAGGCCAACAACCTACCTACCAAGCTCATGGGCCATCCACTGTCGACTCATGGCCCATGAATCACTGAACTGTTGGGATGTATTTTTTTTTTTGAGAAATGGTTTCTTCTCGGAACTTGGGCAGTTGAAAGATAGATGTAAGTTCTATTTTAAAGATAAACGTAACGGTTAACAAGAACGAGTTATAAACTCAGACGTCTTGAGTTTGAATCTTAACAATTCATTGGAGTCAAGTCATAAGAGATTTATTTCTTATGAATACTTTAGTCTCGGCATGAATGGTCTGCTTTTAACTAGACTGGAGAGAAAATTAGTCGAGGTACCTGTAAGCTGGCCCGAACACCCTAATCGTTGAACACACAAAAAAAATCTAAATGCTGTTTATTTTCGCTTTTCTTCTTTGTAATTTTATACATCTTTGCAATTTCTTTTGAGAATGGGGGTTACAGGTTCAAATATTACATACATATTGAGCAGGAAACACTTATGAGGTCGCATAGGGGTTTTTTCCCCCCGAGTAATACTGTTTGGACATGATAATTTGACTTAATGATGTGTCAAGTAATGTGGTCTGACCACTAAAGAATTCAACAGTTGCACTTTTAATAATGTTATTAGAACATCTCAATTGTCACATTATTTGATCAATAAATTAGATCAAATTTTGAAATCCAAATAACATTACTCTGTTTCTTTTATTTTTATTTTTTTGTGAGTGAGGTTATATTGGTTGATATTTTTTTTGAACAAATATATTTGTTGATATAGATAAGCTTTTTTACTGCTCTTTTTTTCTCTATCCTAGAAGTAGAGCTGATAATCGAGTCAAACTTGTTAAACTTGAATAAATTATTCAAATTTGGTTTATTTAGGAAATGAGTCAAGCCCAAATTGAACCGAACTTAAATAGGTCGACTATTTTACATATAAATTAGCTAAGATTTGTGAGCTCAAGTTAAGATTTTTACTCTCGTTTAAAAAAAAGAGCATAAAAAATTGTTCAAACTCAGGTCATTTAAAAAATAAACTAAGCTTGAATAGTTTATTTCAATTATCCACTCAACCCAGAAGGAAGCATATCGCACCTTCCAACCTCCAAAAGTACCACTATTCATGAAAAAGTGAAGTATCATTTGGTAATATTTTTATGGGTTTTTCAAATTTTGCATAAATGAAATCCTGCCACTAATTAATTTTTCTAATTTTATTTTGTACAAGCTGAATACCCAACTAAAGTGACTTCTTTGCTTTTGCCCCTCCAAAACAAAACATTAAATAAATAAAAAAACACTANTGAGTACCATCACCTTTGGTTCCAAAATCATCTACATTGATTGTTGTAGCTGAAGCTGCAAGCCTCTGAAACGTTTTCAAACCATAGATTCTAGTTTGGAGCTTGGCCGAGTTCTCAAACTTTCTGTCTTCAATGGTGCAGAAATATGAAGGGTATGCTTGAAAGTCATAACCAGACTCTTCTTGAAGGTATTTATTATAAGGTAGGTCATCATGAAGGCAGGTGTAGGATGAATAAAAGAGAGGATAACGATGATGATGATTTGGAAGATATGCCTTTGTATGGCCATTATTTGCTTCTTTTGTAGGAGAGAGAAAATATTATTCCAAAAGTATGGAGGGTTTGTAGGATTATAAGAGTCAAAGAGGTATGGAAGTGATAGCAAAGTTAGATGACGAGCTTGTATATTTATAGGAGAGAGAGAGAGAGAGAGAGAGAGAGAGAGAGAGAGAGAGAGAGAGAGAGAGAGAAGGCTGTTGGGTGCTGTTTTCTACGACTCTCGGGTATGGAGTGGGATGCGAGAAACATACACAAAAGATCTCTTTGGTGGTTTCTGACTTTTGCTTAATGTTGCATACAAATAACAAAAATGGATATGTGCATCTATAAAAGCATGCATGAAGTCAACATGTGGGAATGAAGATGTTCTAGAGAGCGCAGGCATTGTTATTTGATCTACACAAAAAATGTAATAAGGGTAATATGGATATTCTCTTGTCTAGAAGAGAATATCCTCATCATCATGGACGGAGTTAGAAATTTATTGTCAAGGTAGCCAAATAAAAATATTGGCAAAATCAGAAATTTTATTCAATTGAGTCATTGTGTAACTTATTGTTAATGTTAACTTTTTACTTTTATAGAACATATCAAAGCCAATTTGTATATGCTGTTATTTTAAATATTGGTTTGGGCCATATAATTCAAAAATCAAAATAACGATCTTGAGTCATCGTCTCATTTTAATCCATACTAGTTAGATAGTGATAGATCACTTTGGATCGTATCATTAACTCTCATACTATGTTAAACAATCATCTATTCCAAAAAATTAAGTTGTTGAAGAGAATTATGTGACTTAAGTATTTATATTTCAACATGACTCTTCACTTACATGCTAGATTTTAAATCTAGCATGTAGAAATCTTCTAATAATTATGGTGGCAGTGAGATTCGAATGCATGACTTCCTGTTTTGATACTGTGTTAAACAACTGTCTACTCTAAAAATTAAGTTATTGGAGAAGGTGTAATTTAAATAATTATACTTCAATAAATGCTCCTCTTACTACTTGAAAAGGCAATTATATTTCATACAATCTTAAACTAAGGCAATTATATTTCCTTCACATCCCCACTGATTAGGCCCAGNAAACGAATGAGGAGCAAACACCCGTGACACATTGTTTCGTTCCTATTTTTTTCCCATCTTTTAGTTAGTCTAACATTGCATGTGTGTGTATATACACATGGGTTAGTGTTTACCGGCCAAGTCTTGATCCTGACTCCATTTGTCGTTCCATAAAATGTAGCTCCATTCACTGTTACATTAGAAACATAAGCTTTTGAATTTCCCTATCCTAAGCTTCCGATACTGAGCTCACCATCAATATGTAAAACAGCAAAAACATACTTTAGTGAACAATGCAAGAGAGAGAGAGAAAAATCACTGGAATTCGAACGTGTTGTTAGAGGTTTTGAATATAGGACCTGATTCCATGACNTTAAAGAAGGCAATGGTGGTGTCATTGTTTAAGCACGTCAAAAAATTTCATGCAAAGCACGTAGATGTTAAGGTTTATTCTAAACACTTTCTATGGTTTAAAATTATTGACTCGGAAGGTATTGAGACACATTATTTATAGTGTCGTAGAGTAACTTAAGACTTATNCTGGGATCCACTCACAATTGATATGTAATCATCCCCTTCAGCATAAAAATGATATTTTCTATTAGGAACAACTAAAGTTTTGCATCATCTTTGTTTATTAACTGATTTGAAAAAAGGAAAAAAACATAATAATAGCCCATTAATTACACATTTAGTGTTATTTCATTTCAATTCTCTTTTTTTCAACTCACCGTCATTCAAGTTTTCAAATTGAGCTTAATTGGTACAATTGAAGACAACGGTTCAAATCAACTAACGAAAGTTGACGGATTATTTAATGATTATTGACAATCATTGCATATGAAATTTTAATTTTTGTTGTTTGGAAAATTAAACATAAACAAAATATGTTGTCAGCTCAAAAAGTTTCTAAAATCATAAAAAAATACTCCTAAAGTGTAGTCAGGTACATGATCATTTTTATTGTGACTAACGTAACACAAAACACATGCTTTAGGAACTATTTCTGTAAACATGTATACTTGTTCCTATAACACAATTGGAAATCTAGATGTTTTGTGTGTTTGTGACATGGATTCCATCACTGTTGGGGCTTGTGGCTTGTCTCTGGTGCGGTCACCTTGAGATTTGAGACTTGGGCATTCACACATTTCTTAAATGAAACATGAATTTGTTGTGCATCTTGGATATTTAGGTTCTTCACAATCAAATTGTTGCCATTATAAAAGGTTAAAGCCTGCCAAAGAAAAGGGTTGAAATTTAGATGAAAAACTAAAGAAAACGATTTCCATGTGTCATCCATTATGTGAATATCAACGTAGGATAATGCACTAATATAAAAACGCATACATACCGTTGGTGCATCCTTGCATGGCTGCATACCAATGGAACAAAATAAAATAATTAGCCATTGATTATTACAAAAGTGAAAGAGAAGATAGTTCAATGCACGAAGTTCCTTCCATTGTAATATTACAAAGCGTGAATTTCATGCAGCCGCATGCAAAGGCTCTTTTAGTGACTCAAATCTTTAGCGGCCAGATCACAATGGAGTAACACTGCCACTGCACATAAAAACCAAAGAGTTTTGGGGTTTAATAATGACTCACAAGTGCTTTATTGATTTTGCAGGAATTTTGCCACCATATCTTCCCATTGCCATTGATAATTCCACCTCCTTCGACTATTAGATTCTGGACGCTATCAAAGATAAGCCAGTGATTGCCTTGTGTGTTGTAGTCTGATCGATCACTAGATGCTGTAATGGTTCCATAAATCTGATTTTTTCCACAAAAGAAAACTTTATTGTAAGAATTAATTCTTTGGAGTTTGCCTTATTTGTTGGTGTTGATTCTATATATAATTGATTTGACCTGCATGGTAAGCTTCGATTTGCAAGGGCCAGAGAATCTAATTGGCTTTAGAAGATAGTTCTTTTTTTGGGATACCACAAATATAGCTCTTGTTGATGAACAAGCTTTTTGCCAAGCCTTTTGATATGCCTGAAACAATACGAACTTAATATATATAAAACAATCACTTTTTAAGCTGAGAGGGTTTCAGAAGCCTTTCTTTGCTAAATATTAATTCTTCCTGATTTTGAATTAATTAAAAGAAATGTGTTCATCTCTCAAATTAAATTCTTACATTTGTCCTATGTAATCACTCCCACTATATTCATTAACTATTCTACATTTTATAATTATTTTGAACTATTTCACATTTGTTTTAAAAAATCAATTTAGCACATTAATGACTAATTTTTCAATAGTGTTAGGGTAGCATAGGGGTGGGGTAGGGTAAGACTGGCTGTGGGAAAAAGTTATAAATTCTATGAATTGAACGAAGTGATGGGCAGATGTAAAATATATATATCAGAATCACCGAAAAATGGAGTAATAAACATTGGAATTAACCTGAAAGGGGCCTCCATGTAAGTGCACGAGTTGATTTACACCATGGCATCTACCCATACTGTAATTTTGAAATTTAGGGATAATTTTGTATTCCAAAAAGTAAGTGGGATTTTTTTTTTAATATAAATTAAAAACTAGGCTTAAACTTCAGCCATACGGCCTCAAGATTCTCTTTTTAGCTAGAAAGGCGGTTTCTATCATATGTTTTGATGTATGGGAGGAGGCACTAGATTTTTAGTGCCCGTCATTTTCTCGGATATTTCGGATTAATCGATTTTCTACCGTTTCATTCAAAAAAAAAAAAGTCTCCATTTCCCTCTCTTGCCTTTGCAACAGCACATCAAGTCAGTGAACAATTAATTTATTAATGAGTTCTAGGTTACCCCAATACGATAAAATCCTAACCCTGCTTCTGTGAAAGCATGTGTCAACTAATTAAATTCAGCTGTTGTTTATATTGAATGAGTTTCTTAGTATGATGCTATGTAATAGTAGGTTAAATTATAATATAGGGCTATCAGAAACATCATGTAGATATAATAAATCTATTTTACTAAACATTGATGCGTACTTAATTTAAAAAAAAAAAGTTGAGACACTAATAAGTAATTGAGTTTATCCTTTGAGCTAAGTGATTACCTGTGTGTCATCATGAGTACCATCACCTTTGGTTCCAAAATCATCTACATTGATTGTTGTAGCTGAAGCTGCAAGCCTCTGAAACGTTTTCAAACCATAGATTCTAGTTTGGAGCTTGGCCGAGTTCTCAAACTTTCTGTCTTCAATGGTGCAGAAATATGAAGGGTATGCTTGAAAGTCATAACCAGACTCTTCTTGAAGGTATTTATTATAAAGTAGGCCATCATGAAGGCAGGTGTAGGATGAATAAAAGAGAGGATAACGATGTTGATGATTTGGAAGATATGCCTTTGTATGGCCATTATTTGCTTCTTTTGTAGGAGAGAGAAAATATTATTCCAAAAGTATGGAGGGTTTGTAGGATTATAAGAGTCAAAGAGGTATGGAAGTGATAGCAAAGTTAGATGACGAGCTTGTATATTTATAGGAGAGAGAGAGAAAGAGAGAGAGAAGGCTGTTGGGTGCTGTTTTCTACGACTCTCGGGTATGGAGTGGGATGCGAGAAACATACACAAAAGATCTCTTTGGTGGTTTCTGACTTTTGCTTAATGTTGCATACAAATAACAAAAATGGATATGTGCATCTATAAAAGCATGCATGAAGTCAACATGTGGGAATGAAGATGTTCTAGAGAGCGCAGGCATTGTTATTTGATCTACACAAAAAATGTAATAAGGGTAATATGGATATTCTCTTGTCTAGAAGAGAATATCCTCATCATCATGGACGGAGTTAGAAATTTATTGTCAAGGTAGCCAAATAAAAATATTGGCAAAATCAGAAATTTTATTCAATTGAGTCATTGTGTAACTTATTGTTAATGTTAACTTTTTACTTTTATAGAACATATCAAAGCCAATTTGTATATGCTGTTATTTTAAATATTGGTTTGGGCCATATAATTCAAAAATCAAAATAACGATCTTGAGTCATCGTCTCATTTTAATCCATACTAGTTAGATAGTGATAGATCACTTTGGATCGTATCATTAACTCTCATACTATGTTAAACAATCATCTATTCCAAAAAATTAAGTTGTTGAAGAGAATTATGTGACTTAAGTATTTATATTCCAACATGACTCTTCACTTACATGCTAGATTTTAAATCTAGCATGTAGAAATCTTCTAATAATTATGGTGGCAGTGAGATTCGAATGCATGACTTCCTGTTTTGATACTGTGTTAAACAACTGTCTACTCTAAAAATTAAGTTATTGGAGAAGGTGTAATTTAAATAATTATACTTCAATAAATGCTCCTCTTACTACTTGAAAAGGCAATTATATTTCATACAATCTTAAGCTAAGGCAATTATATTTCCTTCACATCCCCACTGATTAGGCCCAACTCTTTTACTCCTTAAGAGGCCTCTTATTCATTTAACCTTTGGTGTATTTTGTCACCCTTTGATGATTGGAATTTCCAAACGAAGATTAGTTCTTGATTGAGTATGAGCATCAATTAAGATACAACGTTTATGGTTCGTCAAATTTTCTAAGTTTCATCGAGTATTGAATACTCTATTCAAATTACGACACTATGAAATGAGTCAACCACCAAATCTATATGATAGATCCAATCTACATATATGCATCTTAAAGAAGGCAATGGTGGTGTCATTGTTTAAGCACGTCAAAAAATTTCATGCAAAGCACGTAGATGTTAAGGTTTATTCTAAACACTTTCTATGGTTTAAAATTATCGACTCGGAAGGTATTGAGACACATTATTTATAGTGTCGTAGAGTAACTTAAGACTTATAAGGAATATTGAATAAAATCAAAACCGAAAGTATCAAATCATATTTAACTTAATCAAATCGTGTAAGTATGTGCCCATACTTTTTAACCATGACACCCGCATCATTTCATGTGCTTTATTTCATGTGCCCATACTTTTTAACCATGACACCTGCATCATTTCACGGTGAATTATTGTCAACATTACACTGGCCAGCAGTTAATTTAGGATGGAAAAGTCTTCTTCATCGAGAAACTAAAAAGTTATAATTTTGGATTTTGGTAATCAGATCAAGTTATTCAAACCTAAAAAATTGATCTCATTTGTTAATTTAATGACGTTGTTTCATTGGAATCATTTGATGAAAGCAAGTTCTAATGTTTGCTGAGGTCCACAGTCAATCTAAAGGTCATAATAAATCAGGTTAAAAAATGAGATCAAATTTTTATGTCCAAATAACATTACCCATGTCGTAATGGGCCATTATTGGTACATTGCTGCTATCATTTTACTTCTCAATGACAAAGTAATCCACTTTAAAATACAGACTTGTCTCACTGAAATTCGAGAACACCCCCAGCAATAGAGAATTAGCCCTAGATTGGAGGTTACCTAACTCTTGTTTTGGTATGTTAGGTGTACGTACACATACAAAATTGCATCCCACATCAGAAAATTCCGATTAGGTCTTGGAAAGACCTATTTCTTTATCTTCAAAGAAATTTTGGTCTTGAAAAGAACTAACCTACTAATTTTCTAAAAAATTGGGGTCTTTCAAAGACCTATTGTGAAAGGAAAATTGGTTTATTAGGTAAAAAAAAATCAATAAGAACCATTGATAGAACAGATCTTTTGAAAGACCTACAATAGTTCGAATCTTGTAACAAAAAAAAAAAAAAAAAAATTCATCGAAGTGAGGAAAGGGTTACCTGAATGATCTTGGGAAGCAAGTCACGTTCAATGAAAGAGAAGTGAAATCTATCTATTGGCCAAGGTAGAGATCATATTAGATAAGGTCTTCTACTCGGTATAAACCTCTAACCAAAGTAGGTGAATTATTTGAATTTTAAAATTCAAATAAAAAAAAGGGGATTTTGAAATACCTATAAATATCATGGAGATAATCTATTTTTCGAGTGTCATACGTGATTTTGAAATTCACATACGACACTCGAGGGGCAATTGTTAAACGAAAAAAATTCAATACTCGTCAACTTTCGATACAATTTTATTTTAAGAGGTCAGTGATAAGTTCATGTTCGACACATGGTCCCATAGAATTATTAATCGTTAACTCGACCCGTCAAGCTCAATTGTTAAAATTCACATTTTAATTTGACCCATTAAAATTCATACTTATGAATTTAAAAAAAAAAAAAATTGAAAGCCAAGAATTTGACGGTTGGGCAGTTCCCAAACTCCCCACTACATTAATTAAGAGGAAGTGGGAAAAATGAAGAATTATATGAGTTTTATTAAATGTAGGTTAGACCCATTCCGGATAGTATATATCCGTTAATTATAATCTCTTGCTTCAAGAGAACACATTTTAATTCTAACGAGAAATTATCACACGTTACCATTTACATCACAAGGGCATTTTATTTGTGATGGTAGCTGGACCTAGGTTAATTTGTCTAAGGTGCTCTACGTACCCGTTATCGGGATCAAGCCGATTCGTAGTTCGGGAAATTTAAATTATTACTATTATTTTTGGATAAGATCGACGGGTAGATGGCTCATTGATCTTGAATAGACAAAATATCCATTATGTTTGACATGGGTAAATGATCATTTGAATTGATATGGGTTTAAAAACCACTTGATTGTAGATGATTTGTGACTGCGTCTAGTTTAATTAGACTGCCTACGTATCCAAAAAGAAATCAAGTCAGTCATAGCTCATGTAAAGAGTTTTTGAAATTATGATTCAATTGGAACTGTGACTGCGCCCAAGGTAGCTGCTGAGCTGCCTACATATCCAAAAAATAGAATCAAGTCTAACGTAGTTCATGTAAGGAATTTTTTTGAATTTAAGTGGATTTTAAATGAGTGAATGACTCATTTAATTTGGTTTGAAATGGGTGAATGACCCAAAATTTGATGTTGAATTTGATTTTGTTTGAAATGAGTAAATGACCCATTATTCTTTGGAATAGATTTAAGTCGTATTTAAAACAACTTTAACTTATGTGAATTTTAGGATTCACAAAGGTTGTGACTTAAGATGAAATTAAATTCCATATAAGATAGTTGATTTTATGTGAGTTTGAAACTCAAAAATCTATTAAGAGTCCAAGACTCTTTTCATAAAGATCGTTGAGTTTTAAATCTTCTGAAAATTAGTAAAGAATTAGAAACTCTTTAATTANGGATTCACAAAGGTTGTGACTTAAGATGAAATTAAATTCCATATAAGATAATTGATTTTATGTGAGTTTGAAACTCAAAAATCTATTAAGAGTCCAAGACTCTTTTCATAAAGATCGTTGAGTTTTAAACCTTCTGAAAATTAGTAAAGAATTAGAAACTCTTTAATTTATTTATTTTTTTTGCATTATTTAATATGTAGGAGTTTAAAACACCAAAAATAGTGACGGATTTCAGCGAGACAATATCTTAAAGTGGATTATTTTGTCATTGGGAAGTAAAATAATAGCACCAATGTACCAATAATGGCCCATTACATTTATGTTTCGTTGTTTTTTGAGATTTTGTTTTTTGAACTAAAAGAATTATTGAAATGAGTTCAAATGGAAGCAAAAATTCTGTTGATAAATGAATCCCAATTTGTTGACTATTACTTATCAAATCTTGCTCTATAATCTGATTTGATTTTGTAGTCCAAATAATTATGTGGCATGACGTTTCTGGAATAGTAGTCATTAGTGAAACAAAAATTTCTATTTTAATCGAGCAATGCGGGCATGAAACTTTATTTTCCTTATTATTTTCATCATAAATGACAAATCATGGCATTATATATATTGTCGATGCCATAGTTTGTGTCTGTATTGCGTTTTTCATTGACAAAGCAATTCAATTTGATGATATTGTGTTCAAATTAATTTTGATTCTTTTTTACATTTGTTCATGACATGAAAATTTCACAAGATAGATCGGTATGAACTATATATTTATCGTTCACATTGTCTTCATGACTTTTATGGCCATTGTAATGTTTTTCATATATTTCACAGTGTTAATAAACTTTTAATATTTCACTTTCATTTTTTGATGTTGTGTTGTTTTTGATGCAATATTGTGTGCTATAAATTTTTCATTGTTGTACTTTACGCTACATATTTAAGCATTAACTGTTCGTATTTCATTCTAGAAAGGAAGCTCCACCGAAAGAAGGAGAGGAAATAAGACTTGAGTTTCTTGAAATGTTTCAAGAGGAAGTTGAAAAAGAGAGAAAAGAGAAAAAATAAATAAATAAATTTCAATGGACTATCTAGGACTACAATTTTTTGTTTTTAATTAACTGCTCATATTATTTTTTTTTTCTTAATTTTATTTCATTGTGATATAATTTTTCACTGTCATAATTTTCTATTGTCACGTGTTTAATTTAATGTGTTTGTACTTATAGTATTTTGATATTTAGATGTACCATATTTCACTGTTTATTTGTTACATTATTTTTCACTGTCATGCTTTTACTGTTATTTATTTCGTTTTTTCTAAATACAAATGGAGGATGTTGTGATGATTTTATGCAAGTATGGTACTGAAACATCAATGTTGTAATTGTATGAGCATTTAAGCTTTGACAATGTATTACGTGGAATTCTTGACAAATGGGATGATTTGATTTTGGGGTTTTTTATTACTAAATCAAATAAAAGTTGTAGGTTTCTATACATAAGCTTTGGCCACCCATGAACAAAATCCTAGCTTTGTCCCTGTCTACCAAGCTCACAGGCCATCCAATGTTCAAATTAGACATACATATTGAGAAGGAAGAACACATGAGGTTCTTTTTTTTTTTGTAGTATGTGGTCTTAGTGGTGATATGAAATGGCTGTTGCACATCCCATTCTTCTCTCTGTCTCTCTCTCTCGNGTAGTATGTGGTCTTAGTGGTGATATGAAATGGCTGTTGCACATCCCATTCTTCTCTCTGTCTCTCTCTCTCGAGGAAAGAAGCATATCCCTTTTTTGAGAAATAGTAATGTTTTTGGAAAAATTATTGTTTGGCAACATATTTACTTTGAAAAAAGTTACCAAACTTTACATAAATGAAACAAATTCAATGATTAAATTAATGAACCAAACATGTTTTTCGTTTAAGAAAATTAAAAGAAACTCGAGACAAAAAATATTAAAACTAGACTTAAATAAAACATTGTCAAATGGTGCCTAAATATTTTTAGTTTGTTTTTAACTATTGAATGCTCAACCAAAGCGACTTCTTTGTTTTTCCCTCCGCCAAACAAAACATTAAAAAAAATCGAATACCTTCTATATTAGACAAAATGTCCATTGGCATATTTAGCAAAAAAAGGGACAAGATAGAGATTAGCATATTTCAATCAGTTTGAAGTCCATTGGCTATATAAAATTCAGATTTAACTGATGCGTAAAGCTACTTGATGATTGCATCGTTTCGAGATTTACCTTATAGCCATGAATTAGAAGAGTGCATGATTAGGTTGATTCTCCATTAAAAATAAATAAATAAATGGGTCTAGATTAAAAAGTGGAGATCAACAATAATATGATGAACTTGATGGTCTAACCAACCTTCTAGTTGCATGTTCTTCCTCCTTAAGTGCATTGTGGTAAAACAGCTCCTAGTTTCTTCAAACTAACATTGGTGCATAGAGCTTTGGCTTCTCCACCTCCCTGTTTTACTATGTTGATATTTTGCAACACAACTCCTTGACAAGGAAAGCTATTACTGCAGTCAAGATTTACAGCCACATCAGAAGCACTTGTTCCTTTGATATTCTGGTAGATCACATTGTTCACTTGAATAGTTGAGCTCTGTAACAGAATGAGAAGATGTATTTATATCAATAACATCGACGGGTTTATAATTCTTGTGGAGATTCTGAGGTTGGACTTTACCTTCTGTGGACATGATTTATCTTGATCACAATAGTTTTGGTCTATGATTATGGGGTTCGTAACGTCGTGCATGTCAATGTTCTGAAATTTTATGCCACTTGCACTTCCAGATCCCCCCTACATGTAAGATGGGATGAACATAGGATTAGTATAACTACATGCACACATCTATCTCTCTCTCTCCCCCCAATTTGATTTTTGTGTGTGGTGTGCATGCATGGCAATACACATTTTTTTTTCTTACCGGCCATGTCTTGATCCTGACTCCATTTTCTGTTCCATAAAATGTTGCTCCATTCACTGTTACGTCAGAAACATAAGCTTTTGAATTTTGAGAACCTAAGCTTCCGATGCTGAGGTCACCATCAATATGCAAAACAAAAAAAAACATATTCAATGGACAGTGAGAAAAATATATCACTAGAATTTGATTGTTTTTGTAAGAGGTTTGAATTTGGGACCTGATTCCATGACCTGGTCCACAAGTTATGGCAGTAGCTTGCACCTTTTGGGATCCACTCACAATTGAAATGCAATCATCCCCTTCAACAAGAAAAATGAAATTTCCTTGTTATGATCTAGTTTTGAATCATCCCTCTTTAATGGGTTTTGAAATAGGGAAAAGTACAATAATAGTCCATTATTGTGCATTTAGTGTAACTCTCTTCTTATTTCTTTTAATTTTGTCAACTCTCAGTCACCCCTGCTTGAAAGTTTTCATGTCTATCTCACGTGATCATTTTATGATTTTGACAATCATTGGGGATGGAATTATGAATTTTTCGGAAATAAGCATACACAAATTATGTGATCAGGCCAAAAAGTTTCTCATGAAACCATATAAAACACTTCTAAAGTATGGTGACATGATCACTTCCATTGTGACTAACGAGGCAAAAAAACACATGCTTTAGGAACTACTCTTTTAAATATTATACCTGTTCCTATAACACAATTAGAAATCTGGACGTTTTGAGTGTCTGTAACATGTATTCCATCAGTGTTGGGGCTTGTCGCAGGTGCGGTCACCTTGAGATTGGAGGCTTGGACATTCACACATTTCTCAAAAGAAACATGAATTTGCTGTGCATCTTGGATCTTTAGGTTATTTAAAATCAAATTGTTGCCATTATAGAAGGTTAAAGCCTGCCAAAAAAAAGGTTGAAATTTAGAAGGAAAAAAAAACCCTTTATATTTGGCATATATTATGTGAATATGAACATAGTATCATGCATTTATATAAATAAACAAACATACCGTTGGTGCATCCTTGCATGGCTGCATATCCATGAAATAAAATAAACTAATTAGTCATTGATTAGTAAAAAAATCAAATAGGACAATAAAATACACGAGACTCTTGTCATTGTGAGTTTGAAAAGTACAAGTTTTATGCAACTACATGTAAAAGCTCTTTCTGTGGCTCGAATCCTTAACGGCTAAGTCATAATAGAGTAATTTTATCCGTGCACGAAAAAATAGTGTAAAAACTTACAAGAGCTTTATTGATTTTGCAGGAATTTTGCCACCATATCTTCCCATTGCCATTAATAACTCCACCTCCTTCAACTATTAGATTTTGGATGCTGTCAAACATAAGCCAATGTTTGTCTTGTGTATTGTAGTCTGATCGATCACTAGATGCTGTAATGGTTCCATAAATCTGATTTTTCAACAAAAAAAACTTTATTATAAGAAATGATTCTTTAAATTCTATCTTCTTTGTTGGAACCCTTTGTATATGTAACTGATCTGACCTGCATTGTCAGCTTAGATTTGCAAGGACCAGAAAATCTAATTGGCTTAAGAAGGTAGTTCTTTTTCTGAGGTACCACCAAGATAGCTCCTGTTGATGAACAAGCCTTTTGCCAAGCCATCTGAAATGCCTGAAATAGTACAAAATTTTTATACATAAATGAACATAATCAGCAAAAAATGTAGTAATTAACATTTGAATTATCTTGAACAGAAATGTTACTTGGATTTAAAATATTGACACTATTTGTTGGCTCCATCGGTCACATCTATTAAATAGATTACAAGTCTCAATAAAAACTAAGACTCATAGATAAATCAATGACAATGATAGATGAAGTCAACAAATGACATCAATATTTTAAGTCATTGCTCAATCTTGAAACGGGCCTCCATGTAAGTGCACTAGCTGATTGATACCAGGGCAACTGCCCACACTGTAATTTTGAAAGTTTTAGTGCTATTTTAAAATTTTGAGAGTTTTAAGATTTTTTTGAACTTGCCCCCATTGAAAATTTAAAAAAAAAAAAAAAGTTAGGGATAAAATCCTAGCCCCACTCCTGTGTCAACTAAATTCAACTGTTGTTTACATAGAATTATGATCACAGTGTGTCAAATAATAATTTGTTTACAAGAAACATCATGTAAATATAACAAATGTAATTTACTAGACGTAGATGATCAGTACTTGTTAAAAAAAAAAAAAGGTTGATCCTCTAATAGAGTTCATGGTTTACTGTAATTGATTACCTGTGTGTCATCATGAGTTCCATCACCTTTGGCTCCAAAATCATCTACATTGATTGTGTTAGCAGAAGCTGCCAGCCTCTGAAACGTCTTAAAACCATATATTCCAGTTTGTAGCTTGGCTGAGTTCTCAAAGTCAAACCCAGATTCTTCTTGAACGTATTTGCTATGAGATGGACCATCACGAAGGCTGGTGTTGCATGAAATGAAGGAGAGGATGATGATGATGATGAATGGGTACATATGCTTTTGTACAGCCATAATGTACTTCTTTTGTAGGAGAGAGAAAAAAAATATTCGAAAAGTATGGAGGGTCTGTAGGATTATAAGAATCTAAGAGCTATTGAAGTGATATCAAAGTTAGATGACGAGCTTGTATATTTATAGGGGGAGAGAGAGAGAGAGATGTTGGGTGCTTTTTTTCACGACTATTGGGTATGGAGTGGGGTGCGAGAAACTTACACGAAAGGATCTCTTCGGTGGGTCCAGAATTTTTGCTCAACGTTTAATACAAAATCATCATCTGGGAATGAAGATGCTGGAGAAAGTGTTGGGCTTTGTCATGTGATCTACACAAAGAACATAATAAGGTTAATAATGACAAATCACTCGTGAAATGTTTAGCTTGTTTATGAGTGTTATGTTGTCGGACTTGCACCGACTGCTCCCTTGAACTCAAATACTTATCACTTATATTCTTAAACGAGTTACTTAGAATTTTCACAGCAGCTGTCTCGCAAGAATATTCTCATGAAGCAAACATAGAGACCCCGTTTGAATGATAGTAATCTTCATTAGAATTGATATTCTCGTTCCTAAATTTTAGATTATCCTGTTTGGATAATTAATCATCCAATAATCTAATTCGGGAATAAAATTACATTAGTCTTTGATTAAATATCAATAAATTTTAATTGGCCCTTCTCGTTTGCTCACGAGGGATTTTATTCATAGAAAGAAAATTCCTGTCATGCATCCCTCCCTCTTCTATTTACTCCACATAGGTCCATCCTTTTGGTGTGTTCTGTCACTCTTTTCCACATCTTTTTTTCGATGGTTTTTTTGTGGTTTAAAGAACATTTCATGGTAGGATGACAAAATATAAAGACTATTACATAAAAATTTATCCATAAAATCAAAAAAATTGTCGTTGTGGACCATATTTCTATATTTTTTTTCTGTAATGGAGGGTGCAATCTAAATATTTTAAAGTATAAATTAAAATTTTAAAGATTGTTTAGAGAGGAAAGTGTCATTCACCCATTTACAACGGTAGTTCAAGTGATAATAGAGCAAATTGTAAATCTAGAAGTTCTAAATTTGAATGTTAGCAATCACTTTAAACCAGGTCACGAGAGATTTATATCTTGTGAATTCCCTATTCCCAACGTGGATGAATTATTTTTGACCTGATAGAAAAAAAAATTAATTAAAATACGCATAAGTTGGCACGGAGACCCTGGCCGTTGAAAAAAAGAAGTTGTAAAATTATTCATATCAATCCAATGTTTTGCTTATCGTCAATTTATGAAATGACACATGTCACTAATGGTTGCTCATCTGATCTCATTACATGTGACACGAGATGTTTTGTATCACAAGTTTGGCAAAGCAAGAACATGTTATAAATTTTAAGGATTTATTTTCATAAGGTTAAATCTTTCAACAGTTGCCAGCTGGCAACTTTTAAATCAATGACTATTTAGTATAATAGTGTAAACCTAAGATGGTCAAGAGGAAACAAAACGTAATCATTTTGATATGAAAACTTGTTTAATTTTTTTTTTTCTTTTATTGGTATATCAATGTGTTACAATGATGTAGATCAAGTAGATTTTTTGGATCGTAGTTTTAGGATTTTTGGTTCATTAATTATTGCAAAATGACACAAATCTAAAATAACAGACCTGATATAAAAAGACAATACTTGATTGATAATTTAATTTTAGAGCGATTATAAGTTGGATCGTATTATGAATTTAAAACAATATTTTTGTGTATTGTAGTTGTTTTTGTGGATTGTAGTGATTATAAGTTGGATCTATCGGTTAAGTGTCCTATCAAATCACACTGTATACTCTGTTACACAATTTGGAATGTGTAGTTAGTTAACCATCTATTGTCATGTGTTTGGCAATTGGTTGACTTGAGAATCAGTAATAAAGTTTGATTTTGTAGATCTTTGACCTTTTAAAAGCAAGCAATGTTACCTTTTTTTTTATATTTTAAACGGTGACAAGTGTTTGGACCAATTTACGTATTTTAATTAATTTTTTATTTAATTTGGTCAAAGACAAATTATTCATACCGAAATTTAAGAAATTGCCAAGATTTTAATTCAAAATATCTAAGTGTACAACTCGTTTTTATTATCACTTAAACTACTCATGGATTTAAGGTAAATAATGTTACACCAAAGCGTGTTTGATGCTATTGGTAACAATTTCACAGTACCAAAAAAATATTTTTTAATATATTACTTAATTTTAAAAAATTATAAAAAAAATAAAATTATTTAGGATCGACCTTAACATTCATAAATTTACCATTTTAGGGTTGATCCTTCAGGGCCCTAGTCTTACATATGATGCAGTGTACATTGGTTGGCTTTGGTGGCAAGGCTTGAGCAGATGCATTGCACAATGTGCCGAAAACTAAAGTCCTGCACCTTAAAACAGCAAGTGAGAGCTATGAAGCTTTACCATTTTTGTCGGTCAATTTGATCTATCCGAGTGTTTCGAAGATCTGTAAAACATGTGGAAAAGGTGGACTTTTGGGGTACCCACTCAGATTCTATATATGATCACAAGAAGCACCAACTCTAATGTAGAGAGGGCAAATCCATAGGTTAGATCGGTTATGGACTAGTTTAAAATAGATTCGGTGTAAATCAAGTCTTATTTGTTTTGAATCCGTTTAATATAATGGGTTAGATAACCCGTACTAACAATTAAAACTCTTAATATAGACATATATTAGTACACCAACTAAAATATATGTTAATACACACAAACACACCAAAAGGCACACACATACACAGAAAAATACACTAACTAATACACCAAAATTACACAAATGAACATACACTAACACTTCAAAAAATACAAACACATATAATAATATACCCAAATATGCATGCACACTGAGACACACACACACACACAGACCAATGCAGCAAAAGCACACACACATACACTAACTAATATAAATACAAATTAATACACGAAAACAGACATAGACACGTACACCAAAACACACTCTCACAAACATATATCGAAATACACACACACACATACTATACCACCAAAAGATCCACTTACACACTAATTCACAGAAACGCAATAGTATACCAAAACGTACACACACATACGCATACACACATACACCCCCCCCCCAAACAATACATTAAAATACACACTCTAACATTAATACATCAAAATCCACACATACACACACACACTAATACACCAAAAATACATACATATTACTACAAATATGTACACATTTACTACTACACTCTAATACAACAAAATACACACACTAGTATAACAAAATGCACACACACACGCATGCACACTGATGATACTTAGAGCAATTCCCAAGTATAAGCTCGGGAGCGGAGGTCAGACGCACAAAGCTCATAAAACCAGAGTAAAGCGCAGCCCAATCGAAGCAGCAACGAAAATAATAAAGAGATAGTTTTTTGTTAACAGAAACCCTAAAGGCAGTAAAGAGTCATAATTGAAGCATAAAACTCTCATCCAGGAAAGATCTCCTCCTAAGATTAAGGAGGATTCCTCAGATAAATGGCGAAGATCTCGGGGCGGATCCCGCAAAATTAGGAAAAGTCCTATAAATACTATGTAACGCTCCCAACAGAGAGGTAGAACCCTAGTATCACATCTTACATTCTATAAATCTTTTAGTATAGTAAATAGTGAAGGAAGGAGCAAGAATCTCCATTGAATAGTGAATTAGCCGAGCTCCCGAGCTAGTGAACCACTATAATTTCACTGTGTTAATTCCTCAACTCCCCAACAATTTTCAGTATCATTCCCTCGAGTCTAGTAGCTCAAATCCTAATAATTCTAATATTGTTTCTTTCATTTACTCGTCATCACAAAATTGCATCACGTTGAAATACACCATTAGTTTGGCACCGTCTGTGGAAAATGATTGTTCCTGTTATAAATAAACTGATCTTTCAGTGATTGATGGTATCAACGCGAAACATGAGCCGAAGTCAAACAAATCCACCACGGATGCAAGATCAACAAGAAGCTACTAATAACAGACAACCTGAGAACGTCCAAGAGACCAATCCACCCGTGGGGGGTCTCCCCATGAATAACGAGATGGAGGCCATTCGCCTCATCAATCAATACTTGCTGAAACAAAACGAAGAACTCTTAAAGCTCTTATAACGCCCACAGGAGGTGTGACAGGCTCAAGAAGGCCAGAACAACCCACCACCTAAGGAGCAACCACACCTCAACCCCCTTAGGGAAGTCAACGAAGAAAGGGAAAATAGTCAAACCATGGGGTCAGAACCTCGCATACCCCCTAGGAATGGACACAACGAAAAAGTACAAAGTCAAAATGACGGGAGCGAGAGGAACGATTTTTTCCCCTATCAATAGGAAATGAGAGAACGATACTGGGAGCAGTGCTTCTAGGGTATCCAGCAAGAACTCAGCCACATGAAGGAAGCCGTGAAAGACAAGGCTCCAGTTACGATGGATGCCTTGGTACAATAGACTGAATCTCCATTCACCACTGGCGTGCTGCATTTTCCCCTCCCTCTGAAATTCAGAGTACCGCAGATAGAGGCTTTTGATGGAACAAAGGATCCCGTAGATCACCTCAACACTTATTGGAATCGGATGGAGTTGCATGGATACCAAAATTTAGTGCGCTGCAGAGCCTTTGTCATCACGTTGAAAGGCTCAGCCCTGGCGTGGTTCAATAGGCTCCCCCTACCTCAATTTCCTCCTTTAAAGAACTATCCATATCCTTTGTATCTCACTTCATAGGAGCTCGAACGTACAGAAAGCCGAGTTACCACCTGTTGAATGTGAAGCAGGGACCCGAAGAGAACCTCAGATCCTATGTTCAGAGGTTTAACTCTGAATCACTAAAAGTGGATGTCCCAGACGAGAAATTTGTCATTACTGCATTCATAGCTGGTTTAGGTGTACAATTTAAAGACCTGATGTTCTCTATTTTGAAAAATCCTCAAGCCAGCATGGCCGAAGTACTGGCCAAGGTAGAAAAGTACATAAACGGCGAAGAAGCTCTCCTCTCAAAAGTGAGGAGCTTATCCATGCAAAAAGACAAAGGAAAAGAAGAGAAAAAGAGGGACCAAAGTCCCAAAAGAGAAAGAGGACGAGATAGGTCCCTAAGGAGAGACAGAGATCAATCCCCCAAAAGAAGGGGAGACGTCAGAGATCGCCTGGGACCAACTCATCCAAAGTTACAGCCGAGGTAAGCATCTCGGCAGGTCCCTCCACTCACCGCAACAATATCACAAATCTTGTAAGAGGTACAAAACAAAAAATCCTAAGGTGGCCTACCCGGATGAAAGCAGACCCGACGAAAATTTTACCCCACTCTTGGAATGCAGAACATCTTACGAAATTTTTTCAGTAAGTTTGTCCGATAATATGATTATTAATAAAGCAGCCAGTATGTGGTTCATTCACTCTTATGAAGAGCCTGGGAGATCACGACGAATTCATTAGTCCGTAATAAGAGCCTTAGAGCTCACGATGAACTTGTTAGTTCATAAAAAGAGCCCTGGAGCTCACGATGAACTCGTTAGTTTATAAAAAGAGCCCTGGAGCTCATGACAAACTCATTAGTTCGTAATAAGAGCTCGAGATCTCACGACGAACTCATTAGTCCGTAATAAGAGCCTTAGAGCTCACGATGAACTTGTTAGTTCATAAAAATATCCCTGGAGCTCACGACGAACTCCTTAGTTCGTAATAAGAGCCCTAGAGCTCACGACGAACTCATTAGTCCGTAAGCAGAGCCCTGGAGCTCCCGATGAACTCGTTAGTTCATAAAAATAGCCCTGAAGCTCACGACAAACTCATTAATTCGTAATAAGAGCCCTAGAGCTCACGACGAACTCATTAGTTCATAATAAGAAGCCTGGAGCTCACGATGAACTCATTAGTCCGTAATAAGAGCCTTAGAGCTCACGATGAACTCTTTAGTTCATAAAAAGAGCCCTAGAGCTCACGATGAACTCGTTAGTTCATAAAAAGAGCCCTGAAACTCACGATGAACTCATTAGTCCATAATAAGAGCCTTAGAACTCACGATGAACTCGATAGTTCATAAAAAGAGCCCTGGAGCTCACGACGAACTCGTTAGTTTATAAAAAGAGCCCTGGGGCTCACGGTGAACTCATTAGTCCGTAATAAGAGCCTCAGAACTCACAATGAACTCGTTAGTTCATAAAAAGAGCCCTGGCGCTCACGTTGAACTAATCAGTCCATAAAAATAACTCATGACGAATTCTTTTGTCCCTAAAGCAAACGCAGCAGCTTAGAATGCACTTCCCAGTCCAGAAGAACTAAAAGCAAGACATGCAGCACGTAGACTAGAAGGAAAGCTTCACAGCTTCTATCCATTACAAAAAGAAAAAATGGGTGTCTTTGGTCCACAAGCCAGTAAACGACATGAAAGATCAGCTGTCAGATTCTCAAAGCCACAAATTGTGTATAAGAAGCAGCAAACATGGAAAAGGAAAATCAAGGTTTCAAGAACATCAAAGATTACAAAAAAACTAATCAATGCAAAATTCCTAGTTGTCTCTGCAGTTCGGTTATCCTCTCTTTCAAACGCAGATTCTCCTCCTTCAGCTCATCCCTCTCCTTCTCAGTCGCTGACAGTAAATCCATCAATTTTTGCCCAGCAGAGGAAAACAGAACTTCTTCCAAGAAAGATCTGGATGAAGGAAAGGATGAACCATCCCTCTTGTATTTCTTGATATGAGTCCCAACATCCTCGCTCTCATTAGACCTGGTAGAAGAGAGATCAGATTTAGGAAAAAAGAGAAAGTCCCGTTCAGCTGCAGTGGCGCTAAACAAGAACAGATTATCTGGAGTCATGAGATCAGGAAAAGACATGAGTTCAGCTTGGGTCATTTGTTCCACCCTCATCAATTCAAGCAGGTTCAGGTCAGGAGCACCTACATGCAAAAAAAAAAAAAAAAAAAATTCCCTTGCAAACTTCAAAGTCGTTGATTGGGAAACCATTCCGTTACATCTTAAGCTCAGCCCTTGCCCAAGTCAGCTTGACCAAGAGTTAGGGGGGCAACTGATGATACTTAGAGCAATTCCCAAGTATGAGCTTAAGAGCGGAAGTCAGATGCACAGAGCTCATAAAACCAAAGTAAAGTCTAGCCCAATCGAAGCAACAGCGGAAGTAATAAAGAGATAGTTATTTGTCAACAGAAACCCTAGGGGCAGCAAAGAGTCATAATCGAAGCATAAAATTTTCATTCAGGAAAGATCTCCTTCTAAGGTCAAGGAGGATTCCTCGGATAAATGACGAAGATCTCGGGGCGGATCCCGTAGAATTAGGAAAAGTCCTATAAATACTATGTAACGCCCCCAACAGAGAGGCAGAACCCTAGTATCACATCTTATATTCTGTAAACTTTTTGGTATAGTAAATAGTGAAGGAAGGAGCAAGAATCTCTATTGAATAGTGAATTAGCCGAGCTCCCGAGCTAGTGAACTACTATAATTTCACTGTGTTAATTCCTCAACTCCCCAACAATTCTCAGTATCATTTCCTCGAGTCTAGTAGCTCAGATCCCAATAATTCTAATATTGTTTCTTTCATTTACNCGGCCAAGAGCTGGGGGGCAACTGATGATACTCAGAATGATTCCCGAGCAGGAGCTTGAGAACGGAGGTCGAACATGGAGGTCAGGTATGCAGACCTCATAAAGTTAGAGCTATGCAGAGCTCAAAAAATCAGAGCTAGAGCTCCCCTCAATCGAGATAATAAGCTGAAGCAATGAGGAAGCAATTGGACACTACAAAGAACTCTACAGGCGGTTTGAAGTAATACTCAAGGCACAAAATCTTCAACCACCAAGATACTCTCCTAAAATCAAGGAGAATTCTCTCGAATAGATGGCGAGGATCACGGCTCAGATCCCATAGATTAAGGGTCACCCCTATAAATACCATGTAATGCCCCATCAAAAGGGGGGACCGAATGACCAAAAACCTATTCTGTAAACCTTTGGTGTAATCAATAAAGGAAAATGAGTCAGTCTTCATTGAAGAATGAATTAGTCGAGCTTCCTAATTGATGAACCACTATATTTTCTCTGTGTTAATTCTTGGAGAATCTTAAGCACCATTCCCTGGAGCCAAGTGGTTCAGACGTTAATAATCAGAATATTGCTTATCTCATTGACTCATTACCACAAAATTGTTTCACCATTGATTTGCACCATCAGAATAAAACCCCTAGTTAACTATCCAAAATTTTTACGAAACAGTGAACTTTAATGTAGAATATTTGAATTGAAAAACATATAACAAAACATAATGCTAGATTTTGTTAGTTGTACACATTATTATCCATGACACTATATAAACTACCTTTTTTACTGCGCCTGCCACTTTATTATCAGTGACACTCACCCCTTGATTCACAGTGTAACTCATTTTCTTTTCTTGGTTTGCTAATCACATCAGAAGATAGAACTCCTGTGTATGTTGCCAGCTAGTTTTGGACACTTATTTCCTGTTTTCTATGCTATTTGACCGGGCAATTAGTATCCGGAGTTCTCTGTGGAAAAAGTGAAACCATTATCCATATGCCCATTCTGATTGTGCAACCTATTTTCAAAGGAGTTTGGAGAGAGAGCTTTAGGGAAACTTTGTGTGCCCTGAAGATTCAAACCATCCTGCGCTTCCATTTCCCTCTTGTGATCTCTAAGACAACGAGTCACATATAAATACTCACAGCGAAGTAAACACACACAGCACGATCGGAGATGGAGTGGGAGGTCGACAAGAGAGAAATGAAAGCCATCGGAGCTGAGCTGCTACTGAACGGATGGCGCGGAGTGCGTGCATATTCATGGTTGAGAGATCGAATCTTTCAACCGTTCAATTCTCAACGTAATAAATAAAAATAATATAATTAGAATGGACTGTAGGACAAATACGTATACTTAAAATAAAAGTGCTCTGATTGTATTTAATGAGACCTTTCACCAATTTTTATTAAAAAAATTAGTGTTTGAAACAACTTATTTTAATTATTAAAGTCAAATATAATTTTTCCACTTAAATAAATAAGTAAAGTTAAAAAAAAATAAGATTAATTACAAAATGTCCCTTTGAACTATAATTTTGTTTCAATCTGATCCCTCTGGTTTAAAATTGAACAATTTATCCCTTCAAATTTCAGAATGTGAGCAGAAAGGCTGACGAAGATGACTGAGTAGGTGAAATTCCAAACTATCCTTCAACCTGGTTGATGTATTGGCGCCAAATATTTAACCACGGTTAGGTAATCACTTATCATATAAATAGAACTCTAACCCAAATTTAACTTTGTTTATTTTTTCTGAGATGCTTTTTGTTGTACACAATCTAAGCGAAGAAAGCAACGACATGAAAGGGATTGAAGGTTATGGTGCATGAACCATGGGCATTTTGTGTTGATTGAGCTCAAATGTTCGATTGTAGGTGAACCCGCTTGAGCTCGAAAGTTCGANTTATGGTGCATGAACCATGGGCATTTTGTGTTGATTGAGCTCAAATGTTCGATTGTAGGTGAACCCGCTTGAGCTCGAAAGTTCGATTGAAGGTAATAGTTACGGTGCAATAAAGGCTTGTGAGCATCTTGTGTTGATTGAGCTCGAATGGTTGATTGAACGACGAATCCAGCTGATTTATCTTGTGTTGAAGCTTTCTGTTTTACATTTTTGGTTCATTGTATGACATTGTTAGAACCATGTGATTTCTTTTGGTTGTATAGGTTTTTGTTCTGCCTTTGATTCCTTGTCTGGCATTTTGGGAACCATGTACTCAGACTTATTTTTGTTCACCTTTATGTCAGTATCACTAACTGTGGTCCCCTATTAAACAACTTTCACTATGTTTGAGCTTAAAGATCAAATATTTTAGCTCACATTTAAGGCATCATCAAGGTTGGTGGTCCCCCATTAAACAAATTACTAAGTATATATCATACGAAAGAAACAAAATTCTCTTCGTTGTGGTAAATGCCACAAATTTGGACACAACTCCAGGTCTTGCACTGCTCCAAAGAAAGTTGCAGGCAGTGGTAGCGGAAAAACTAAAACAAAGGTAAGATTATCATGTATTTCATAATGTTAGTAGATGCACATATGTGTTTAAATGTTTACTAACATATACGACTTATTTGTCATAGGCACATGATTCAGGAAAGAAAAGAAGTGTTGCAAAAACTGGGAGTAGCTCACAACCAATTATTGGATCTGGAAGTAGCAGCTCACAACCAACCAGCAGCTCACAACCCACCAGCAGCTCACAACCAACCAAAGGGAATACAAGCAGCTCACAGCAAATTAAAGGGAGTAGCTTACAACCAACCAAAGGGAACAAAAGCAGCTCGTAGCCATAAAAGAAAGGACATAGCTCTGTAATTCAAAGTGGTGAAAGTGTAAGGAAGAGTATCAATATCAGTGGCAGTGGACTTCCACTTCCCAGTGGTGGGTCTGCAATTGGGCTTAGGGGGTTAACCATTATCAAAAATTTGGAATGTACTGGTTCGAGAGGTCCCAAAGGCATTGGGATGATTTNTGAAAGTGTAAGGAAGAGTATCAATATCAGTGGCAGTGGACTTCCACTTCCCAGTGGGTCTGCAATTGGGCTTAGGGGGTCAACCATTATAAAAAATTTGGAATGTACTGGTTCGAGAGGTCCCAAAGGCATTGGGATGATTGCAAGGTCGAAGATGAAGAAGAATGACAAGAATCCCAGTGATGAAAATGGGAAAGGCAGCTCTAAGGGAGGTGAGTGGAGCATGTTTTGACTTTGAATTATGTTGGTGTTGTTAGCACACTCTTTTGTTTTGGAATGCACTGCACTTTAGNAAGAATCCCAGTGATGAAAATGGGAAAGGCAGCTCTAAGGGAGGTGAGTGGAGCATGCTTTGACTTTGAACTAAGTTGGTGTTGTTAGCACACTTTTTTTGTTTTGGAATGCACTGCACTTTAATATTGTTTAGAAATCAACCCATCTTTTGTGTCTTGTTAGACATGTAATGACCTAATGTATCCTCCAACACAGCGATGTGCTTTTGCTTAGTATGTAATGAAATGGATGTTGCATTCTACTATTTCATTAGGTCTTGCATTTCACAGATTGCATTTGTTACATGACCAATGCATACATAGTTGTTTCTAGTTGTTATACATCATGAGATAAACAACTATGAAAACAATAATGATTGCATATATTATCTTCTCCTTCCTTTTTAAGTATTTAATCTCGTTCTCAAGCTTTGTCGTCTTGCGCATGAAACCAACTATGATATTTCTTTCCCTGTCTGTCATCTTTGGTTCATACCAGTCAAAATATTTGCAAGATGACTTTCCCTACACTTTACAAAGTAAAGGTTATACCAAAATAGCAATTGGAGGAAACATGAAAAAAATAGTTGATAAAGAAGTACCACTGTCTTGTAGTTGGGACAGCTATAAAATCTTCTTCCGGGGTTGTTTTCTATCCATGATGTCTTCACTTTGCATTTTAGTCCACATAAACACTCTTTCTCCATGTACTGATGATTGGCTTGAAGCCATTTTTTTGGTGTAAGCACTGTAGCAAAATGTATAATATTGTGGGTTGGTGTGTATTTGTGTGGAGAGACAGAGTGTGAGAAGGGAGAGTCAAAAAAATATTGCTTTTCGTGGAGAAAAAAAAACCCCAANTGTGTGGAGAGACAGAGTGTGAGAAGGGAGAGTCAAAAAAATATTGCTTTTCGTGGAGAAAAAAAAAACACAAGTACAAAGAAAGAGGAAGGCTAACAGCAGTCATGGCCATGAATGAGAAATTTGCTTCAGTTAAATAAGACATCTCCAACGGTTGGGAATTGTGTTTTTGTCATTTTCGACCTCATAAGGGTAGAATGGTCTCAAATGGTTTTGTATTTTTTTTTGGCAGATGAATTTTAAATGTTACCGTTACTTTTGACAGAAGTCAGCTAATCCGTCAATATTTTTGCTCATTCTAAAACTTTAAGGGGGTAAATTGTTCAATTTTAAACCAGAGGGATCTCATTGAAACACGACTCATAGTTCAAAGGAATATTTTGTAATTAACCCTAAAAAATAACTTATATTTCTTTTATATCACTTCTCTACAAAATACTTTACTATCACCACAGCCGCCACCCACTATCCACCCCCAACACACCTACCACCACCACCCATCCTTGCCCGTCACCACACCTACCATCACCACTGCCATTCGCCACCATTGTCCTCCACAAGAACTCATCGTCATCCACCACCACTCATCGTCTCCCACCACCACAACTCACTACTGTACCACTACCATTGTCACCCCACCATCACCACTAACCACCATCATCGCTCAACACCATCGTCGTTACCCATAACTGTCACTATCACCATCGTCATTCAAAAATCAAAACCCACCGNACCACAACCACTAACCACCATCATCGCTCAACACCACCGTCGTTACACATAGTTGTCACTATCATCATCGTCACTCAAAACTCAAAACCCACTATCTTGGTTTTTGTTAGTACTGGGATGAATTTGTTTGTTTGGGATGAGTTTTGATTGGTTTTATGTGGGCAACAATTTCTACGACATTTATTGGGTTCTATTCCATAAATTTTGATTGGTTTTTTGGGAATAATTTTTGGCATTCGTTGGCATTATATTATTACTTATTGAACTGACGGTTCATTTCCATTCTCTCTCTCTCTCACCTAAAGTTTNATGTGGGCAACAATTTCTACGACATTTATTGGGTTCTATTCCATAAATTTTGATTGGCTTTTTGGGAATAATTATCGTTGACATTATATTATTACTTATTGAACTGACGGTTCATTTCCATTCTCTCTCTCTCTCTCTCTCTCTCTCTCTTTCACCTAAAGTTTGGGTTTTTGCGGATCCAACAACCTTCTGTTCTCAGCCGAATCAACCGATTTCTCTGAAAATGACGAAAAGAACCAAGAAGGCGGGCATTGTGGGGAAGTATGGTACCCGTTATGGGGCTAGTCTGCGGAAGCAGATTAAGAAGATGGAGGTCAGTCAGCACAGCAAATACTTCTGTGAATTCTGTGGGAAGTATGCAGTGAAGAGGAAGGCTGTGGGTTTCTGGGGATGCAAAGACTGTGGCAAAGTCAAAGCAGGCGGTGCTTACACGCTAAACACTGCAAGCGCTGTGACTGTTAGGAGCACCATTCGAAGGCTCAGGGAGCAGACTGAGAGTTAAATCTGCATTCATTTTTAGATGGGTATGATCACACCATTCAAAGGGCTCAGGGAGCTGGCTGAGTTTTGAATCTGCATTAATTTGTGTATGGATGTAATTTAGCGAAGGCCAAGTTGCTTTCTTTTTGGCTTTTGATATTCAGTTAGGTACTTGGGATATTAAGAGCTTTTGAACCTCATGAATCAAATTTGTGCTTTGGAAAAAAAAAATTATTACTTATTCAAGATTCTTTAATTTTTTATTGTTTACTGCAAGTTAAAATTTAGTGGATAATCGATCTTTTAAGCCATCGGCTTATTTCAAGATACTTCACATTACGATTCCTTTTGAATGTTTTCAGCCTCTAAATGTATTACTACTAATGCTATATTTTTACGTATAATTCTATTTTAAGTCATTCGGTGCTATTACATGCATTTGTTTAGCACTTTAATTATATCTGATTCTTTGTTTACTACTTTACATCGATAGTGTAGGATTGATCCATTGTATAGATTTCTTGTGTTGATAATGCTTATGTTTGAATTTGGGTTATAGTTGGAAAACTTGCTTGGTAAAGTGTAAATTTTGTGGCCAAACATACTATTTCATCCATGTTTACTTTGATTTCAATTGAATTTTTGTAGAGTCAAACCCACCGTAAGGCGCAAAACAAATATCTATATAGTAAGATTGGTAAGAAGTTGAATCTTGGAAATGTACCCATATAAAGAGTGGTCCAAATTACTTCAGCTTGATCTAACGGTTGAAAATTACTCTTCATAACCCCCCCTCCCCAATTCTGTCCCATCAATCCTACCGAAAATTGTTGTTAAAAAAAAAAACCTGCACAGCAACGTCTCTCTGTCTTTGCGCCCCCCCCCCTCTCTCTCTCTCTCTCTCTCTCTCTCTCAACTATTTCCACCTGGAAATCCGACGACTCGACAAGTCCAATTAGTCTCCTTCTCTCTCGCTCTTCTCTTCCCTTTTCTTTCTCTTTCAATACTGTCACACCCAAACACATTGTACACACTCTCCCCTCTTCTCTTCCCTTCTCTTTCTCTTTCTCTTTCTCTTCTCTTTCACTTCTCTCACACAAGCCCATCGCTCACACACTCATACACACACAATGCACACACATTCTCAATTTCACACCCACGCCCATACCCACCTCTGCGCACAACACTCATTCTCTTTTTTCTCATGTTTGCTTATTTTTGAATGTCACAGTGGCAAAAGTGTCTCACCTGATGATGCTCCACTATTTTCTATTTATTTGCTAATAATTGTCTTTTAATTTCCATGGCAGCAAAACAACAAAAGAGGTACACCAGCAAAATCCAAAGCTTTATCCTTTTTAGGCATTTTGTGAAGTCGAAAGCTTTTTTTTTTTTTGTTAACTATCAATAGTTGTGAGTTGATACGGATTGGTGCGATTTTGTTTCATTATGTCATAGAGAATTTGATGTTAATTTTGTTGGGAATTTTATTAATTTTGATGCGACTTTTTTGTTGGGAATTATTTAATTTTGATGAGCTATAATAATGATTTGGTTCATGATATCTTTGATTTTGGATTGAGATTATATTAAAGTTTTGATGCTCTTAGATTATACCTTAGATTTTGGATTGAACGGGCAAGTAGATATAATAGAGATAGTATTGAGTTCTGATCAAGAATAATGGGCTAAAACATGTGTCATTTGCTTATATTCCGGTAAAAATTGGGACTTCTTTTTTGCATATTGTTCTCTAAAAAGGGTCACTCAATGGTGTCTCCATGATGTTAGCTTTGATATGGTTTTAAAGCACATATTATGACCTTTCTCTCTGGTGGGTGTTTGCTGTCTTGATGTTTTGAGTTTTCTTTGTGTATATTTATTGAATTTAACTGTTTCACTCTGGGTTTTTGAAACTCTTTTTTTGGCAGCTATGAAAAAAAGAATAAATCTTGAAGTGGGTTTTTAGTATTACGTTCTATGTTGCGTTTGCTATCAATCATTTGTTCAATTTTGTTGCTATTGTGTTAAGTAGTTTGAATAAGTTCAATTTTTCTTTGCCTTTGTAGAATCTATGTGATGGAATATACGAAGTTTAGGAATATAACATTATGAAGCCCCCAAAAATAAGGAAGGTAGCTTTTCAGAGGAGATTCAATGCACTTGCAATTCCATGATTCGGTTTTTCGGTTTTTGTGGGTGATTGTCTTCAAGGCATATTCCGTATTCTTAGCTGAATTAGTCTTTTATGTTTTGTTTTAATGGTTGTGGCTTTCATGGTTGTAATTAGGTTTGATTTGATGTGGTCAATTGGCTTGTATTGTGTTTGCTGTAGAAGTTTTTTTTTTTTTTTTGTTATTATTTCAATTAGTAGAAGTTGCTTATGACTGCAGTGAATGAGTCGACCAATGAATTAATGAATAGTAGAAGTCTCAATGTATGTGATTGGTGCTCAAATGGGTTGTGCTAATTTCTTAATTTTGAGATTTGAGTTATGAAAAATTCCTAGGTTTCTTGCAATAACCCTAGATTATGTTACGCATTGAATGATCATTATATTACAACACTTATATTGCAA